ACCGCCTCAGTATAGGTATTATATATATATATATACTTAGTTAGTTTAAGAAAAACTAGGTAGTCCGTATGGGTAAACCTAAGGAGGATAAAATCCAGAGAGCTCAATGTAAATCCAGAGCAAATAATTTAATAAAAACTCGACTTTTTAAAGTTCATGTAATAATTATTTCTACAGCCCTTTTAAGGACTGCGGATCATCAGACTTTATTTCCAAAGAAAAAATGAAAAGAAAATTTACCTAAATTAAATTTTCATTTCATTTTTTGTTTGGAAGTAAAGTCTGATGATCCGCAGTCCTTTAAAAGGGCTGTGGTGAAATAATTTATTACATTGAACTTAAAGTGGTCTGTTTATATATATATATATATATATATATATATATATATATATATATATATATATATATATATATATATATATATACAGATCTTCTATCACAAAAAAAGGTAAAAAAAAATTGTTGCTTGTCTGTGCTTTTTTTTATAAATACTTTCATGGTAATTGTTCGGATGATCTCTTCGCTATGGTACCTAGAATTTATGAAATTAAGCGCAGTAATGGACTGGATTCATCAACTTCCATTTGAGCTAGCTAGATGTAACCGTAAATTCTATGCTAACAGTTTCTTTTCTCTAACTTCTTGAACTACCTTGCTTTCCACCCAACTTTAATCTGCAAAAATTTACAAGCAATGTCAATCGCTATCTACTGTCCTCCTGATTACTCTCTTCTCTTTCTGTTCATCATTAATGTTTCTGTTGCTAATTCTTCCACACCTTGTAACCACTAGCGTCTTAGTGGCTTTATCGCCTTGTTTAGAGTGATAGCGATTAAAAGAAAAATATAATCGAGTTTAAGCACGTATATAGATATATGTTTGGGTGCGTACTAGTGTATATTTGTGTTGTTTAGGAATATGTCTACATGCATATTTTCTACCTATGTCTGTAAAAGCGTTTTTGGAAATATGTGGAGAATTTGCAATTCTTGGTTGTGTGGCCAAAGGCAGATTTCCCCAGCTTGTTCAAAGGCCTTACACTCCCCACCCCTAGCTTTTAAATAAAAGAGTCGCTAGCTCGAGTGCTATCGACACCATTCTTCGGCAAGGACGAAATCTAGATCTCTTCTTTGGCGACCCTTGACCGGCTAAAAGGAAATAAGACAAAATAAGAATTGAAAAAATAGCAAATTATTGGGCTGAGTTCTGCATATTTATTTAGCCGTGCGATATATATATATATATATATATATATATATATATATATATATATAAAAATATATATATATATATATATATGTAATATATATATATATATATATATATATATATATATATATATATATATATATATATATATTACGTATTTTGGCAGCATATCTTCATTAAAACATGTCTCATTAAGACGTTTTGTCTACTCATTTTTATTAGAATCCTCTCACAATTACGGACAAATTTCTTAGTATCCTTGTACGATTTTTAAATTTTATGACGTAAAGGTCAAGTGATGCAACAAAGTTATTGAAATGTCCAAATTTAAAAAAAAAATATTTAAAACTATTAGTTAAGACTTAGATACAGTATTTACATTAGTCGGACTATTGTTCTCATCTTTGTCGCCATATTTGTCACAATGTTTCGGCCGTTGTACGCTCCGGCCTTCTGCAGGTGGTTGGAATTTCGAACTGAACCCTTTATTTCGAACACTGGAGTAGACTGTTCTAGTTCCACGTGCCATGTTTGATGGATGTCAGTAATTTACAATCGCCTGTTTAATGACTCTTCGTATAGCGAATTTGTCCTGCTTAAATTTATTGTGTATCTGGTTGCAGTAAAATATGTTGATATTCTTTTACGGAGTATTTTTATTACTGGTGTCATGTACTTTTTGTAAGAATAATTTTACTTTTTTCTTGATAATAGAGTTGAGAAAATTACTGTTGACTAATGTTTGTTTTATATTTTTGTTCACTCAGAAATTTTCTTTGGGAAAAGGAATTTAGGTGTCCTCTAGATAGAAAATCTTTTTATAACTGCTATTTTATATCTTGCATTAAATATATCGGGCATTTGCTGTTATAATTTCGATGGTAAATAGGTTAGATTTTAATTTTTATATCGACGTCGAAAAATGAAATTTTATATACATATAAATAAAGAAAAAAGGAAAAACTTATCACAACCGATGCGATTCGTCCTCTGAGACAAGACAAATATAAAGATCTTATTTGCGTCTGAGATGAGGTATTATGATAATTTAAATTATTTACATTATTCTGACTGTTATCTTCATCATCATTACCATATTCACAATGTTTCGACCGTTGTACGCTCCGGCCTTCTTCAGGGCATTGGGATTTCGAACCGAACCCTTTATTTCGTCTAAGAAGGTAGAATGTTTTAGAATGTTTCATGCCTTTTCCGTGTGTCTCAGTTATTTCATTTTAACTCAGCTCCCCAAGATTTTTAGTTTACTGATGTAGCTTGGTATTGAACTCACAACTCTTTGCTTCTAGTCACTGGATCTAACTAACGTCTTTATTCACTTCGTATGAATTTCTGGGACTTTTGAACCTAATGTTTTAGCAAGCGTTTTTACCAGTGCTCATATTCAATTATTTTTGTTATTATTATTATTATTACATATTTTTCCCAGAGCTTATATTGCAATTTTTGTGTTGTTATTCATTGCTTTTCTCTAGCACTGCCTATTACGTATTGTATTAATTTCTATGCTTGGTCGGCTCAGGAGATTTTTGTGGCCTAGCGTAGGTTAAAAATGCAGGAAGATCGCAAATCGGTAACACGGAGGGAAATAGAAAAATCAGGCGTAGCTGACCGCAGTTGGAGGGAAAAGGGAGATCACCGCCCATTGTGGGATTTGGTTGAAATGAAAGACAGCGAACATCACTGGAAAATACGAAAACCTGAGGAATCAGTTCATATGCCAAAATATTATTATAAAAAATACTTAAAACATTAAAAGAAAACGGTTAAATTCTTAATCTATTATTTAAAATATATAATACTTAAATAAATCCCAAACTAAAAAAACATAAAAATTAATTTCACTATTTAATGAAAGCAAATATATTCAGTTTTAGTTAAATTCCCAGATGAATTCTGTGGACAAGACAGATCGGTATCAAATGACAATCTAAGATTTTTTCCAATTGTCATTTGATACCATATTCAGTTTTGTTTATTCGACATTAAATTACGTCATTGAACATCTTCCATAATTTACGTTGAATTTTCAGTTAGACTAATGAATGTGAGTTCTAAAAATTCTGTAAAAGTAATAACAATTTTACTTTTGTTTATAAAACTAAAATCCTTACATGTGCGTTGATAATGTCCATCACAGGAGGAAACGCGTCATGCAAGATAAGTTTTCTTTTTGTCTTTATTCACATTGGCCTTTTATAGATATATTCAGGAGAAAAATACTATTTATTTTTGTAAATTTTTATATTTACGAACGCTCATAAATATTCAACAGATTAGCCGAAATGTCTGGCAAGCTTTAGAATTGAATTCTGTCACTTGGCGTCCGCCATAGCTTGCCTGAATGATAAATATTTATCAGCACTCTGAAATTTAAAAATGGTATATTTAATATATAAATACTTGTTACAAAATAAAATCCTTGCATTTGCCTTGATAAAATCCCTCAGATGACAAAACGCGAATACTTTGTTTTTTGTCTTTATTCAAATATCTACATTACAGTTCAAAAATTTGATGACAACCCCAGAATTAAAATGCAATGAACTTCACAGAAAGGTGAAAAAAAAAATGAAAAAGTGTTCTGAGAATCATTGAAAAAAGAATGCCATCAATTATCAAATTTATTCTTTGAGAAACTTTTGCAACGAATGCCAAAAATTTGTGCTGCAGTAATCAAAATTTAATCATAAAATGCTTATCTTTTTAATCTTTTTGTCAGAATAAAATTTCTAATAAAAAATCATGTCTAACTTTTTTGACAATGTATAATAATGTTCTCTTATTTAAAGAACGAAACAACCACCTTTTGAGCCAAATTATCTGGGGCAATCTTAAAACTTTTGAAATGTAGTGTATATATATATATATATATATATATATATATATATATATATATATATATATATATGTGTGTGTGTAGGTATGTCGAAAAATAGGAAAGAACGCGTTAGGTAAATAATCCGGAGTTCTTTAGTATTTTTGTTTTTATTTAAAAAAAAACAAAAAACAGTGCTCCATACAGAAGTAGAGCTTAAATTATAATTTTTTAAAAAATATGATTCCTTCTCTACATAAGAGTTCTCATGTTTCAAAAACGAGAGCCGAAATCGTCACTATAATTATTAAAATTAAATTGAATTAAGGTATCAATCCCTGTTTCATCCTCAAGCGAAAATTTTTCGAAAATGATTATTTCCTCATATTATTTTTTATCTTTTCTCATGTTTAACCATTTTCTTTTGTGTGTAGTAGTAATCCAAATTCTTCTTGGACTGGCGGAAAAATATTCCTTTCCTTAAGGGGTAATTAAACAATTATTTTTGGTCAGAGAAATAGATAGGAATGAAGTGTTTGTCCTTATCTTTTCATGTCGTCTGTATCGTTACTCCATTTTTGTGCATTGTGTAAGTGTGTTTTTTGCTTTATATATATATATATATATATATATATATATATATATATATATATATATATATTATTTTCTCCATATATATATATATATTGTTTTATTACAAGGATATATATATATATATATATATATATATATATATATATATATATATATATATATATATATATATATAACACACACTTTGTTTGGCGTATAGGGTTCGTGTGCGTGTGTTTATGTCTGTGGTTTGACTAGATTATTTTGCCACTATGGTGTTTATTTCTGTGTGTAGGTTTATGATTTGATTAGTGTTGGTTTAAATTTGTCTATGAAGGTTTTTCTAGTATTTGTTAGTAAGAGTAATCACACACACGCACACATATAGATAGATAGATAGATAGATAGATAGATAGATAGATAGATAGATAACGAGAGAGAGAAGTTTTTAACTGATACGAATATAATATATCAGAATATAACTGAGCAAAAACGTCTCCTTCACTTCTGCTCTGCCCATTCAGGATGTAGTTGATCATAGCTCTCCACGACATTCTTTCGCTCGTATCTCTTATATATTCTGGACTAAGATTTTAGTAATTCTCTTGGATTTCAGTGAATCTGTTAGCGAATTATTGCGCCCTCCCTACTTTTTTTTTCACATATGTAAGCAGATGCACCATATATATATATATATATATATATATATATATATATATATATATATATAAAAATTTTCTGGAGAAATAAATTATAGTTATGAAACCTTAAGGTTGTCTCTTTTTTATTTTAATTAATTAATATTTGAACTCTTGTTACATTGAGGTCTCTGGATTACATCCTCTTTGGAATTATCCTTACGGATTACCAAACCCTACTCTGCCTTAGTATATATATATATATATATATATATATATATGTGTGTGTGTGTGTGTGTGTGTGTGTGTGTGTACAGTGAGAGAGACAGAGACAGAGAGAGAGAGAGAGAGAATGCACAGCCAGAATATGGGTCATTGGTTGTGAAAGAATTTTTGCCGACTTCCTTGTGGCAAATGAAAGGGTCTGTGCAAAAATGCAGAAGGTCAGTAGAGGGTGAGAGGAGTGAAGACAAAGGCCATGAAATCGAGAAGAATTGAAAGAGGGTTAAAGTTGGGGTGGAGGAACGTGAAATAGACGTGGGGGGAAATGAGTCAGGTGAGGAGATTAATATAGGTGAGTCAAAGAGAAAACAAAAAATGACAGTGAGGAACATACTAAGATAGAGAGATAGATATGGACAGGCTGAAGTAGACAGATCGAGATAGATAGATAGATAGATAGATAGATAGATAGATAGATAGATATATAAACAGATTGACATTGATATATATATGAACAGAGATAGATAGATAGATAGATAGATAGATAGATAGATATGAACAGACGGAGATAGATAAATAGAGAGAGAGACAGAGAGTGTGTGATGAACAGACTGAGATAGATCTAGGTCAGTTCATATCTATCTCGGTCTGTTGGTATCTATCTATCTATCTATCTATCTATCTATCTATCTATCTATCTATCTATCTTAATTTGTCTATCTATCTCAGTCTGTTATCTATCTCAGTCTATACATATCTATCTCGGTCTGTTCATATCTATCTCGATCTGTTCCTATCTATCTATCTATCTATCTATCTATCTATCTATCTAAACAACTACTCTCATTATTAACGCCTCCATGTTTTATCAATATATAAATTAAATACTTACAGAAATCGAAAGCACTATTTACTGAAGGATGACACTGTCTACATGCGCAGTCTGAATGAATGCCATCTCGTTCTGCGCATATTTAAACAAACAGTAGCCAGTTAGATGGCATAATCATTTTGATAAAGGGAAACATTTAATAACTTCAGACGTTAGAAAAGACAAAGCAATGCTGGAAATATTTAAGAAATGACGTCAAAAGATTTATAGATGGTGAACATCAGTTCAAGATCATGAAAAAATTACAAGGCACGTATTTATTTTTTATATTTGGATGTAGCAGAGAACACACCACGTGATTCCAAAATGCACTTCTTAACTAATCAGAAGCGAGATAAAAAATATTTTCAAGTATTTGGAGCTCCGAAAAGCTTATAAAAACTGTCGACTTTTACTCACTGCTACAGTCTATGTGCCGCGCGTCACCAAAACTTTACCACCCTCCTTAATATTTCAATCTTATTTCAAAGACACTGGATTCTATATTTATCTTACTCTCTCTCTCTCTCTCTCTCTCTCGTACACACAAACATACACACATACTCTGAGTGAAAAATAGTGAGAGAGAGAGAGAGGATTCAAAGAAATGTGAATGGAAAATGAGAGAAAATTCAAAGAAAGAAACTACAAAGTAAGAAATACTAAGAAAGAGATAAAACATGAATAGAAAGTAAAAAGAAAGAAAGGGAGAGAGAGATAGAGAGAGAGAAAGAGGCGATTGAAAGAAAGAAAAAATGTGAAAGAAAGACGAGAGAAAATTCAAAGAAAGAAAGAAAGAAAGAAAGAACGAAGATAATAAAGAATAGAAAGTACAAAGAAATGGAAAGAGAGGTTTCAAAGAAAGAAAGAAATATGAAAGAAAATCGAGAGAAAATTTAAAGAGAGACAAAAATAAACTACAAAGTAGGAAAGAAAATAAAAAATGAATACAAAAGTACAAAGAAAGAGAGGGAGAGAGAGGGGGATTGAAAGAAAGAAAGAACCGTGAAAGAAAAAAGAGAGAAAATTAAAAGAAAGAGAGATAGAAAGAAAGAAGATAAAAAAAAGAAAAGAAAGCATAAAGAAAGAGAGGTAGCGGGGATTGAAAGAAAGAAAGAAATATGAACAAAAAAAACGCGAGAAAATTGAAAGAAAGAGAGAAGAACAAAAAATGTACAGAAAGAAAGAAAATAAAAAAAAACAATAGAAAGTACAAAGTAAGAAAAGTGGGGAGAGATAGGGTATTAAAAAAGAAAGAAATGTGAAAGAAAAACGACAGAAAATTGAAAGAAAGAAAGAAAGAAAGAAAAAGAAAGAAAGATAGAAAGAATTTAAAAAATAGGAAGTACAAAGAAAGGAAGGGAGAGAGAGGTGGATGAAAAAAGAAAGAAATGTGAAAAACGAAAGTAAATTGAAATGATGAGAGAAAGAAAGAAAGTACACAGAAAGAAAGACGATAAAAAAATAGAAAGTACAAAGAAAGAAAAGGGGAGAGAGAGAGAGAGAGAGAGAGGCGTGATTGAAAAAAAAGAAAGAAATGTGAAAGAAAAACGAGACTAAATTGAAATGATGAGAGAAAGAAAGAAAGTACACAGAAAGAAAGACGATAAAAAATAGAAAGTACAAAAGAAAGAAAAGGGAGAGAGAGAGAGAGAGAGAGAGAGAGGCGTGATTGAAAAAAAGAAAGAAATGTGAAAGAAAAACGAGACTAAATTGAAATGATGAGAGAAAGAAAGAAAGTACACAGAAAGAAAGACGATAAAAAAATAGAAAGTACAAAGAAAGAAATGGAGAGAAAATTGAAAGAAAGAAAGAAACGTGAAAGAAAAAAAGTGAGAAAATTGAAAGAAAGAGAGATAGAAAGTAGCTGAGTGAGGGAAGGAATTTATAAGCAAGAACTCGGAAGAAAGAATAGAAGAAAATTGCTTTGAAGTTGCAAGAAAGGAAAGAAAACTGAAAGAATCGGAATTATTGTGAAAACTGTTCTTATTGACAGCATTTGGTCTTTGATTCTTCACAATCAAAGAGTATTTATCGGGCGCTGACATCACACTTAATGAGTCCTTTTGTAGCCTCGAGCCTCGAGAAACGAACCCCAAACTGCGCGCCCAAAAGTCGACCGGTGGCACGCACCTCACCCCTTTTCGGGTTTTGTCGGCAGCCATTTAAAAGCGATTCGGCGGGAAAGTGTATGGTAATAATGGCGACACACTTTTAACGCTCATATATATATATATATATATATATATATATATATATATATATATATATATATATATATATATATATATATATATATGGTGGTAATAAAAAAGAAATAAAAGATAGAATATTAAGTTGTTGGAACGCGGGAAGGGGAAGCGCTAAGATAATCATGTTAGGAGAAAATAGGATTGAGAGAAAGAGTGAGAGAGATAGAAAGGGAGGAAGTGAGATAGAGAGAGGGGCAGGAGGACTATGAAGAGATCGAATCGGTGATAAATAAAAGAAAAAAATAATCAAAAACAATAGACTGGGGGGATATGAAAAAGGAAAGCGGTGAAGAGTAAAACTAAAAGAGGAAAGATGAAAGGAAAGGAGACTAAATGAAAGGAGTAGGAATTCCGTAATTTAAAGTTCTATAAAGAAGGTAGAAAAAATGGAATAAATATAAAATAATTAATAAATAATGAATTAAAAGGAAAAAAAATAAATATTGTTTTTCTGTTCGGGGTGGTGTGTAAATAGAAAAGTAGCAGAAACAAAGGTCAAAAGGACAATAAGAACTTAAAGATCCAATATCCATGAGATTTATTATAAGAAATGAAGAAAGCAAGAAGGAATTGGAACAAATACAAAAAATAAAAATAAAAACTTGCTTTTAAAGAAAGAACAAATGGAACATAAATAACAATAAATAATGAGAGAAAATAAACATTTTTGATAGAATCTTCATCATCATCATCATCATCATCATTCTACACACAAGCCGCTAGTGGCTCCCTGGTGGGCCTACGGCAGCAGCACCAACGGCCCTCAGGTGGCAACCACTGGCGGGCCATGGGTATGCCTCTAGCGGCCCGCCACTGGTAACATTGCCGAGACGAACACGCAGGTGGTCCGACAGCGGGTCACAAGCGATAAGTGCTAGTGGCATTGCACCCAATGGCTAACGTGTACGATCATCATCATCATCATCATCATCATACACACAAGCCGCTAGTAGCTCCCTGGTGGGCATACGGCAGCAGCACCAACGGTCCTCAGGTGGCAACCACTGGCGGGCCATGGGTATGCCTTTAGCGGCCCGCTAGTGGTAACATTGCCGAGACGAACACGCCAATGGCTAACGTGTACGATCATCATCATCATCATCATCATCATCATCATCCCCTTGATTTTTGTACTCGTAGTTGGAGGGGGGTCCAAATTCAGAAGCCACACTGAATCTCTTCCACAAATGTCTATCAACAGCAGACATCAACCATTCTGGTATAGTCATACTTATCCATTGTCCAACAAGTTTTTGCGTTAGCGTCCTGTCCTACTTCCACCTTCATCAAAAGGAATGGAGGTCAACTTCGAGAAATCCAAAGTAATGGTGAATAGCAGAAACAGTAACATCTTTCTCAACATTGCCATGAATGAGAATACACGGGAGGAAGTGTCCAGTTTTAAATCCTTGGAAGCAATCTTGTCTAAAGATGGTACCTGCAACTCGGAAATCTGCACACGAATTGCCGTAGCCATGGCAGCTCTAGCCAAATTGACAAGAATATGGAGGAGCAAAATCAGCTTTCAAACCAAATATAATGTGCAAATCGTTGGTAGTTTCCATTCTATGTGCATGTGAATCGTGGACACAGATAGTTGAAACAGAGAGAAGGATCCAAGCGTTTGAGAACAAATGCCTGAGAAAATTCCTTGGCATCTTCTACTGGGAACATAAAACCAATGGATTTGTGCGGAAAGGGGTTGAAAGTTTTGTGGGTCACCAGGAACCGCTTTTTGCTACTGTCTTTCTTTTTGATATAAACAGAATCAAAACTGAGAACAGCTGAAATTCGTAAACAAATTGGATACAGAAGAAAGAAGAAAATAAAAAGCAGCAAAAAGGTTAATAAATAGAAATAAATAATAATGAAATAAAATAACATCAACTGCTGAATTATTTTTAAATTATTAAGAAAAATATTTGCAAACTGGGGATTTGGATAGTTAAGACCCTAATTTACGGAAATTTGTCTAAGACTGGTGAATACAGTTACAACCCTGAAGAAATGGTAATCAGGGAGGCGATCCTCCAACAGAAGACTTTGGATCTGGATTACAAACCTAAATATTTGTTTTTCTTATTTTATAAGTTGTGTCCCTTCAGAACGCATATGATAAAGGCTATCCACAACATCCTGTCGTCTGTTGCTCTTCGTAACTTTTGTTCTTTGAGTATGTCACCTAATCCTTGTCCTGCCAAGGTTTGTTAGATAGATTACTCATTACATTCTTCTATTCATCTTGTTTGTAATATTTCCTGAGAGTGAAAAATTTCCAAGCCTTCCTTTCTCATTATGTGCCCTAGCATTTTCAACGGTCTCTTTCTAATATTAATTATAAGTATCTTTTTTGTTTACATTTCCTCTAAAACTTCATCATTTCTCAAATGTTTAATTTATGGTATTCTCAGCATCCTTCTGTAGAGTGACATTTGTGTTGCTTCAAGTCTCTTCTTTATTTGTGAGGAGATTGTCCAGTATTCACTGTCATATAGGAGGACTGATATGACATAACAGTTTAGTACCCTTTTCCTAGTTTCTCTTGCTTCAAGTCACTTTTTGATCTGTGAGGTGATTGTTTCGCATTCACTGCCATATAGGAGGACTGATATTACATAAGAGTTTAGTACTCTTTTCCTAGTTTCTCTTGCTTCAATTCACTTCTTGATATGTGAGGTGATTGTCCAGCATTCACTGCCATATAGGAGGACTGATATTACATAAGAGTTTAGTACTCTTTTCCTAGTTTCTCTTGCTTCAAGTCACTTTTTGATCTGTGAGGTGATTGTTTCGCATTCACTGCCATATAGGAGGACTGATATTACATAAGAGTTTAGTACTCTTTTCCTAGTTTCTCTTAATTCAATTCACTTCTTGATCTGTGAGGTGATTGTCCAGCATTCACTGCCATGTAGGAGGACTGATATTACATAAGAGTTTAGTACTCTTTTCCTAGTTTCTCTTGCTTCAATTCACTTCTTGATCTGTGAGGTGATTGTCCAGCATTCACTGCCATATAGGAGGACTGATATTACATAAGAGTTTAGTACTCTTTTCCTAGTTTCTCTTGCTTCAAGTCACTTTTTGATCTGTGAGGTGATTGTCTCGCATTCACTGCCATATAGGAGGACTGATATTACATAAGAGTTTAGCACTCTTTTCCTAGTTTCTCTTGCTTCAATTCACTTTTTGATATGTGAGGTGATTGTCTCGCATTCACTGCCATATAGGAGGACTGATATTACATAACAGTTTAGTACTCTTTTCTATGTGTCTCTTACTTCATGTCTCTTCTTCATCTGTGAGGAGATTGTCCAATATTCACTGATATTGAGAAGGAATGATATACAGATATTCAGAACCCTTCTCTTTGGTTCTATTTCCTCAAACCTCTTCTTCATCTGTGAGGAGATTGACCATCATTCTCTGGGATATAGGAGGACTGATATTACATAAACGTTCACCACACTTTTCTTTGTTTGTGTTATTTCAAGTGTCTTCAACTGTGGAGCGATTGTCCCGCTTTGACTCTGATATAAGACGGCTGCTATTACATAACAGTTCATTAGTCTTTTCTTTGTTTCTCTTGCTTCAAGTCTCTTCTTCATCTGTGAGGAGATTGTCCATCATTCACTGCCATATAGGAGGACTCATTTTACATAACCGTTCAGCACACTTTTCTGCTACATCAAGTGTCTTCTTCATCTGTGGGTAGATTTGTCCAGCATTCACTGCCATATAAGAGGAATGATATTACATAACGGTTCAGTACTCTTTTCTTTATTTCTGTTGCTTCTGGTCTCTTCTTCAGTTGTTCCAGCATTTACTGCCATATAGGAGGACTGTTATTACATAATAGTTAAGTACACATTTCTTTGTTTCTCTTTCTTCAAGTGTCCTCTTCCACTGTGGGGATATTGTCCAGTATTCACTGCCATATAATAGGACTGGTATTACATAACAGTTCAGAATTCTTTCTTTGTTTCTGTTGCTTCAGGTCTCTTCTTCATCTGTGAGGGTATTATCCAGAATTCACTGCCATATTGACGGACTGATATTATATAATAATTCAGTTCACATTTCTTTTTTTCTCTTGCTTCAAGGCTCTTCGGTTCAGCATTCACTGCCATATAGGAGGATTGATATTACATAATAGTTCAGTATTCTTTCTTTGTTTCTGTTGCTTCAAGTGCCTTCTTTAACTGTGGTGAGATTGTCCATCATCCACTGTCATATAGAAGAACTGATATTATATAACAGTGTAGTCCTCTTTTCTTTGTTTCTATTGTTGAAGCAATAGACACTTCTGTCCAGCATCCACTGCCATATAGAAGGACTGATATCACATAACAGTTCAGTATTTTTTTTCCTTTTTTTTTTTCTAACGTAATTTTCCTCTTTTTTTAATATTTTGTTCAGCTTTTGGCAGACATATTTTCCTATCTCAATGCAGCTTCCGATTTCCGTGCCGCCTTTTCCGTCCTCTGATAAAACACTTCCCATAAATTTAAATATTTATACATGCTTGATTTTGGTATTTAAATTTTTTAATTATATTCTTGCGTTGTTTTTTGTTTGTCTGTTTTTTTTTTGTTTGTTTTTTGGTGGCTAGGGTTGTATTTTTTTCTGGCAACTATATACTTAAGCTTCTATAAAATGAGAAATAGGAAAAAATATGGACCCGTACTACACAGAACCCGACGGAAATAAAAAAAAGTACTACGAGGAGTTAAAGAGAAGAATACAAGAAACATATTTTGAAAGAGGCATTGTAAAATTAAACATGGAAATAATCAATAAAAGACAGATTTAAAGAAAAGAATGGAATAAACAAAGAACAATTTTCGCTAACAGATGCAGATAAAGAAAGAAAAAAACTATATCGTCTAACAGAAGCTCAACTTGTCACCGAGTTGAGATCGTTATAGTTAATATCAGCAGTGGTTGGGTAAGGACTAGAAAGGTGCTTTTTATGAAGAGAAATACCGCTTTCATTTTGGAGAGATACTGGTCGGGGAAAGCGAGAGGAGGGTGTGACCGTTATTAGAGTTCACTGGCCTCTATTGCCAGCAGACTCAATCACGGGGCCAAATGCGACTTGTTTCAAAAGAAAAGACAGGCGATGCGAAATTTCCAACGACATCAAAACCCCGCCGTATTGTCCCATTTGGCGCCAACTGAGAATTGGTCAAAGGAGATCAAGTATGCACTTTTCTCGTTATTTGATTCTTGCATTTTCTTCTTCCACATCGAAACACACTTCCCGTGCCCATGATTTGCCTCTTTATTCCCCTTAAATTTTTCTCCCTTTTCTAAGCACGCTTCCCCTTTACACTTTGTTTCTAGACACCTTTTCCCTTTTACCACATTCTACATTCATCATGTACACACTTGTTTACAGGAATATTACTACGGTTACACTTTCATTTTCACTTTTACACGCTTCTATTGCTTACTTTCAGTTTCACTTTCAAACACAAAATTAAATATTATGAATTATTGGAAAACGAATATCATCCATAATTTTTTTTTTATCCTTTGATCTTTATAATGCATCGAAGTATTGTTGAAATCGTTAGATTTTAAATGTTTGGATAATATTTGCAGTCATTCAGTGCTGATATACATATTAATGTTAAGTGAGAAAAAATGAAAATATTAATAAATCAGATAATATATCAACTTATTCAGGACGGTGGAGTAATGGATATCAGCTCGGATTGAGGAAATCGGAGAGCTGAGTTCGAATTCCAGTTAAATCCATTACATTCACTTAAGTGCTAATACCCTTGGGAAAGGTATGAATCCTCTTCTCCCCACTCCCAACTACGGGTAAATATAACGACAGGCCGGGTTCTATTGCCCTGGATGTCTACCGCAGAAAGAAATAGCAACCTACTGCGGGAAAAAAAATCTGCCTCGTCAGTCATGTATCGAAAGATACATAACCGCCTAAGCGTATATCACGCATGGCACATGCTGACTGACGTGTCTGATCGAAAATTTTATACAACTGATAAAAAGATTTATTTCATTAACTAACAAAAGTATAAAATTTCTCTCTTCCAATTTATTTCATTAACTAACAAAAGTATAAAATTTCTCTCTTCCAATTTACTATGGGTAAATAAATAATTTATTACTATGAAGGTGATTTTTATTTGACACCTGTGCTTGAAATAGACGTCCAGTTTTTTAAGGGATAAAAATGTCGAATTAAAAATAATGCTTTGTTTAAGTTCCAGGTGAGAAAACGAGAGGTTATTGTCCTGAAAAATCTGAAAAGATATTTATTCCTTAAAAGAATAAATATTACTGAGTTGTAATGTGAGACTCTGTACAGCCGAACATTATAAAGCATTCTTGGTCAGACAATCGTTTCTCCCATAAAGGAGGTCACAGATTTGGACCCCTCCAGAGAGGATATTTCTTCAAGTTTTCTCGAGTGCACGGACCGGTAGTCGTAATAACCACTGTTAGAAAAGGCTGCGTCTTCATATATATATATATATATATATATATATATATATATATATATATATATATATAATCTCTGGTGAAATAAATTATAATAATGGAACCTTAAAGTGGTCTGTTTTTTCTTTAAAAATTATATATATATATATATATATATATATATATATATATATGTAGATAGATAGATAGATAGATAGATAGATAGATAGATAGATAGATAAACTCGGTGGGTGATGAATCATGATAGTACAATTTTCAAACAAATTGGCATCAGAGGAAATATTAAAAAAAGAAAAGAAACAGAAAGAACAAGAAAACTCCGAACAGGACGAAATAACTCGTCCAGTACCTTAAATTCTGGTACAAAGACAAAAAAAAAAAAAAACCTAGCCCTGATTATTCCATGTGGTGAAACCTAGGTATGTAGTACCTGGCTCATTAGGTTATATATATATATATAGAGAGAGAGAGAGAGAGAGACTGTATTAGACTGTCCTAGTTTCACTTGCCATGTCTAATGGATGTCAGTTATCAGTTATCTTCTGTTAATTCCCCTCTCCAAGTTCTCCACTGCCTTAACCAGGTATTGAACTCAAACTCTTTGGGTCCTGTTACTGCATCTAACTGCATCTGTCACTTTGCTTTGGGTGAATTGAAAATGTTTCCAATATGGAAACGTTATAATAAATATGGCGACAAAGATGAGGACAATAGCCCGAATAATGTAAATAGTGTACATAATATCTGAGAAATATAGACAGAAATAATTCTAGGTCCATATATATATATATATATATATATATGTGTGTGTGTGTGTGTGTGTGTGTGTCTGTGTCTCTGTGTAAAAATATATAGAAAATAGGAATGAACTCGTTAAGTAAATAATCCAAAGTTCTTTAGTATTTTTGCTATTATTTTAAAAAAATAGTGCTCGATAGAAAAGTAGAGCATAAATATAATTAAAAATATGATTCCATCGCTAAATAAGAGTTCTCATGTTTCAAAACAAGAGCCGAAAACTTCAATATAATTATTTGAATTAAATTGAATTAAAATACCAAGCTCTGTTCCATTTTGGATTCCCAAAAAAATTTCGCTTGAAGATGGAACGGAGCTCGGTACTTTAATTCAAATAATTATATTGAAGTTTTCGGCTCTTGTTTTGAAACATGAGAACTCTTATGTAGCGATGGAATCATATTTTTAAATAAATAATTATGTATTTGTGTATATATATATATATATACACATATATATTAAAATGTCATTGACGTACAGGTCTGTTTCGCTGTATCACAGCTTATCAGTGCAGTTAGACATTTGTGCTTCAAGCCGACTGAGTTAGCATCAGTCAGAGTTTCTACCCCTGAGCTATCAGCGGACGGCAGAGAGAAAGGGAAATTATAACGTATTATTTTTACGAATGTAAGCAAACTCCAGACAGCCATATTTCTCTATTCATTTAAATTTGCGTTAGCAGAGACGGCTACTGTTTAGAATTACTCTCTCTCTCTCTCTCTCTCAACAGTGCTCAACCGAAATCTGTGTTTGTGTGTGTGTGTGTGTGTGTGTGTGTGTGTGTAGCTCAATGATTCATTTGGCAGGTTTTCTGCGAGTAAAGTTCATTCAGTGTGTTGTACCAGACTTTTTCCCGCTAGAATTACATATTTATAAGTCTGCCATCCATACTTGCTTTGAATACTACTATAACATCTTGCGTTGTGCCCCTAATCTACTTCCACACCTGATCTACTATATTTAAAGATTCTTGATAAAATCTAAAGAAGAATCTGCAATATTATTGGTCCTAACTTGGCATCCCGTCTGTAGTCACTTTCCTACCACCGTAATGTAGCTTCCCTGTGCGTTTTCTATAAATATTTTCAGCGTAATTGTTTTGATGAACTTTCCTTTATACCATTATAGTCCCGCATTGATTTCGGCCAGTGAAGTGATGTTTCTGTCACATTTAGTAATTGTGGGGGGGGGGAGTTATTTCTAATCTTATTTTTCTTTAGTTTCTTGTAAATAGTTTTTTGTATGCATATTGTAAATACTCATTGGGGTTAACTTTTAGAATTGTTGTTTTATTCCCCTTCCCCCACAGACAACGTATTGTAAATATGGGGACTAGTTAGTATTTTCATAGAGAAAAAGAGGTATTATGGTGGTTGTAGTAAGAAAGGTACGAATGAATGTGTTGTTTTGGTGTAAGGAATATTGTTTCGTAAGATTGGGTCAGTGTTTGCGGCTAGCTAAGTTATAGTTAAGACAGAAGAAGACCGTCCTTTCCCCAATCCCCTTTTCGGCCTTGTGCCACATTTCTGTATTAAACAGAATAAATATCACTTTCCTTTATGGTACCTAGATTTTATGTACTTAAATGAAGTACTAGATTGCCCGTAATATTTCATCGTTTTATAGTTGAAATGGCTCGATATAACCGAAAGTTCTATGATAACATTTTTTTTATCACACATTTCGCTTAGGAAACTCTCTTCCAGCTTCTTGCTTCCCAATCAATTTTGATCTTCAAAAACTGAAATTTAATGTCAATCTTTAACTTCTCCTAAATTCTTGTTCTTTTATTGTCCTCTCTCCATAATAACAGTTTCTCTCATATTCTCTAACACTCAGAAACCCATTTGTAACTTAGTGGCTTTAGTGCCTTTTATAGTGGCGTCTCGCGGTCTCTGACTGCGCACGCCTTTTGTCGAACTCTCTGCATTAGCAGAGAGGAACCCGGACGGGGCTTTACCGAAGGGCAAGGTTTCGTCCGGGGAGGTAGACAGGGCCTGAACCCGTCTAGGCGGGTTCAAAGGCTATATTTTTGGCCGAGCCTACGGGGCATTAAAACCGGCCTTGTGCCATATTCGGTCCTCGTGGGTGGAACGATAAATACTCAGTGCCTTTTATTTGGAGGAAATTTAAATGCACTGTCAATCGTTATCTTCTGTTTTATTAATTCTTGTTAGTTTTATCGTTGTCACTTCTTAATAGTGTGTTTTTATGTTCTCTAACACTCAGTAACCTTACGTCTTAGTCGCTTTATCGCCTTGCTTGAATGTGAAATGATTAAAAAAAAGTAAAAATAAAAAAAAAAGTAAAAATTAAAAAAAAGCCAGATTTAATGATGAAATGAATTCTATTTGATTAACAATGAGATATGGAGTGCAGTAAATATTGACAATTTTGCTAACGTTCACTTTCTCGCAATTTTAAACATACACCTTTTATATACTTTTTTTTTTTTTTTTTTTTTTGTAAATTAATGTAT